CCTTAGCCCAGGCCTGGTGGGGGACCCTGCATTTCATCTTCTCCCTGGCTTGCTCTGGGCCTGGCCCCCTTCTTGACCAGCCCAGGGCCTGCCTGAATCTTTTTGGTAAGGGGAATCCAAGTGTGAGCTTTGGGTGGAGAAGCCGGAAGGAATATTACAGTTTGCTCCTGCTTTTGGTCCTTTCCTCTTTCTTCAGCTGTGGCAGAGGCCCTGGCAGCAACTTCTGCTCCCCTCCCTCCCTCCTTCCCTCCCTCCCACCCTTCAGGTGCCCTTTCTGCTTTGGCCTGCCACGATCCCTCCTGGTGACAGATGGTGACAGCTACTGATCGGTAATTAGCCAAATGCTGTTGACAATTTTTAATAATGCTCTTACTTTCTGACCTTCTGCCACCTCCTCTGACCAAAGATGAACAGGATCTACTCCAACTGCAGAAGCCACTTAAATCTGTCAATCAAGTTCGCATCCTGATACTCTGAGAGCAGTCAATGGAATCCTTCCTCAGGCAAACATGTGATCCTGAAGAGGGTAAGTATCCAAAAAGCCCAATGACTTTCCTTCTGGGGAACTCCAGAAGAGGAAGGCTGCTCTGGAAAAGTCCCAAAGGATTATGCTGGGCCTCCCGGATCATAGCTCAAACAGAAGGTGCCAAAAGAGGACGGGGCAGTGCCAGCGTCTGGCTCTCCTCACCCTCCAAAATTCCCATAGAAGGGGAGGGGGAGAGCAGTCATGTAGTATTTTAGGGTCCCGAGGCTGAAGATGAAAGAAAGTAATCCACCCACGGATAGCTGAACCAACAAAGTTTATTGAGCAAAGCAGTTCATGGATAGCAGAATCAACAGCAAAATTATTAATCATGAAACATCATTTTTATAGNCAATTGTATAATAATAATAATAACTGTTGTGTAAGCACATACGAGAAGCCCCTTTCTCTCTCTCTTATTTTTGAGGGAGGCCACCGAGCCTCTGCTGAGGCAAGAGGAAACCAGATTAAAGAGGCTGAACAGCAAAGGAATAGTTGCCTTTTGCTGTTCCCACAACATACTTCCAGTCCTGGTCCGGACTCTGTTCCAAGCGTTATGGGAATATGGACTGTGTAACTAAAGAGAAGACTTTGCCGAGAGCCTTGAGGCTGCTACTGAGGATATTGGGAATTCACTCGAAAGACAAAATAGGGAATGGGAAAGCTGAGCAGCCTGCGCATGGGATAAGGGCCCATGGGAAGCACTGACCCCTTCCACTAATAACCAGCCTCTGCCTTGTAGGGATGTCGGTCCCGGGAAGGAATTGGATGACATCTTTTGGCCCAAGCCTTCCTCTAGAGAAATGCTGAGCCTTTTGCTTGCTTGCTTGCTTGCCATTCTCATTCCAAAGAGCAGAAACAAGAAAAGTGCTAATGGGGAAGTTTCAGGTTGCTTGAGGAAGAGTCTGGATTCAGAAATGAATCGGGATTAGGCACCTTTTCACTAGAAGCAGTCCAGGCAACTTCCTGGACTCAAGACCCAGTTGTGAAGCCCTGAGCCTCCGGTGATGCCTGTCATGGCCCAGGCTTCGATTCTGCACCTGGAATCTAAGGAAGCTGCTCCAGCTGATCCTATGGAATGTCAACCTCAGGAGACACCAAACCAAGAATTACATAAGGCTGATTAAGCACAGGCACCACCTGGACAGCTGGAGCAGTCTGGGGAGGAGGAGGAGGAGGACTGAAGGCCTCCCAGCCTCTGCACCTGGGGAGGAGAGCGGAGAAGAGACATGCTCCCGCCAAGCAAGTGAGTAAATCTCTTGATTGATGACAGCTGGCTGCAACCTGACTTAAGAGGCAGCCCTGACCCATCTCCCCTTTGTTGGAAACAACATCTGCTCTCTGGCTCTTGCATGACATTCCAGTGAATCCTGCTGTGTAAGAAACTGTGACCCCCCCCCCACCTCTGTGGGAAGCCTCTTGGAATTTGCGTTTTTGTTTGACTGACATCCCTGATGTGGCTCCTGGAACCCTGGACTGAATTCTGTGAGGCACAAAAAGGACCAGGTCCACCCATGAAAGTCCAATTACATTGATTTGCTACTAAAAAGCCAGGCCTGATAGGAATCTTTTCAACTAACAGCTGGCACTTGCTTGGAGTTAGACTAAGGTCAATGCAATTAAGGGGGGGAGGGGTTGGCTTGTGGCTACATAGGGATTCTAGGCTGATCCCTCTTTTAACTCAGTCCCCAGCTTCTTCTGCTCCTCTTCCAGATTTGGACTATTCTTCTGCATTCTCCTATTAAAAGCAAAATCAGTGGAACAACTTGCCTCCAAAAGTTGTGAATGATCCAACACTGGAAGTTTTTAAGAAGATATTGAATAACCATTTGTCTGAAGTGTGCAGGGTTTCCTGCCTAAGCAGGGGGTTGGACTAGAAGACCTCCAAGGTCCCTTCCAACTCTGTTATTCTATTCTACTCTATTCTTGATGCAACCTCTGTTGTTGCTGTTGTTGTTGTTCTGTTTTGCTGTTATCTCTTCAGCCTTAAATAAAATTACTAGTCTCCATAGCAACCGTGCTTGGCTCTCTGTGATTGAAACCCAAAGCAGGACAATAATAATGTGGGATTCACTGGGTGATCTCTCTCATGGGGATGTTGTGGAAGAACTAGTGCAGGGATTGGTATGCATATTGATTTGATAGGAGAGATTTGATAGGAGAGATTTGATAGGAGATAAATCAAAGAAGGAAAATAAAACAACTTGTACTAAGAAAATACCTTCCAGATCACGTCTGTGGGTTGCTGTTGAGTAAGATGAGAAAATTTGAGAAAATCTGATTGATGCAAGAATTGGGTAACATTCTGAAGGCACAAATTTTACATGATGACACTTTGTGTTTGTTTTTACCCT